ATACAAATATCTCCGGAGAAAATGACCTGACGGCCTCGCTGGAAATCCTGGACCGAGAAGATGATATCCGGGAATCACACCGGATCAGAAGGGAATCGTTAACACTACAAATCAACTTGACAATAAGGAAAGCCAATTTTGCATCCACCGGAACCAATATTTGAACTTCACATGGGATCGTCGCTCTCAACTTTTGACAAACGTATACATGAACAAATTAGAAGAAAACTTCAAGATGTCACCGCGACAACCAGAAGTGCTTCTGCAGTACCTGGATGATGACATGGCACTTTGGTCAAATTGAAGAGAAAAACTGGAAGATTTTCTGATGTTTATAAATCAGATTGATAAAAAAAGTAAATTCACAATGGAAGTAGAGGAAGATGAGCGGTTATCATTCCTGGATGTTGAAGTGATTCGAACTAATAAGACGATTAAAAAGAAATTGTTCAGAAAGAAGTATTATGCTGGGATAATACTCAATTTCCAATCTCATCACAATTACAGGCCAAATATAGGAATAATGAGCATGGTCATCCGAAGCCTTCTCTTAACTAATGTAGAATTCTGTGACGAAAAGTTGGACACATTGATTAGGATCTTCCTCGGCAACAGCTACCAAAACAAAGTAATACAAAAAAAATACAGGCCGTGGAAAGCGGATGACAGAACGAGGACTATGAAAGAAGAGTAATGACGGAGGATTCACAAAAGTAGATATGCCTACATTCCTGAGAACTAACTCAAAAACTACGGCCAATATTGAGTAAATGGAATATTCAGGTGGCCATGAAAGAAATATCAACACTTTAGGCTAGTCTACGGACGTAACATAAAAGGGTAGACAAATAGGATTGTTCAAGAGTTTACTGTATATCATTCGGCGCCCAACAACATAAATATATTGGCGAAACAGGGAGAGCAATTAGCATACGAATTGACGAACGCCAAAGGCTCTGCAGGAAAATGGATACCGAAAGATCAGAATCACCGGACACATCGCACAGACTGGACACGAGATCAATTGGAAGGCAATAGAAAGAAGGGCATCATATGGTGACAAACACAAGGAAGCGAAAGACTGGAGAGGTCATTGATTTCTTTAGGGGAAAAAATTCAACGAACAGGAAATTGGAGAAAAAAGAGTTATTGATAACTTAGCCTACTGCTTAAGCAAACTCGAATAAAATAAGAATACAGCAAGACCAGCAAAAAGGAGACGCCTGGATCAAGGATCTATCGCTAACCGGAGGAAAAGAGATCGCGATGATAAAAAGGGGTACGGGGATTTTCGGCACTCAAGCGAAGACGTCAATGAGTGATGTCCATTCGAATAAACCAGTACAGCTTTGAGGGCCTGGTAGCCATGGAGCTAGGCAGACGGATAAGCAAACCGTCACATTAATTTGACGCTATGGCCAAAATGTACTAGAAATCCACTTGAGATGTCGCATGCGACCATAGATAGGTGTCCAAAGTTTGCGCAGGTAACACGAGTTTAATCAAGGAGACGACCCATGAAAGTAATGCATGATATCTGCAAGCATAGGAATCACAGCCTGGGCGACAGTGTATGCGCTTCTATGGCCTTTAGAAATAGGGCCTGGAGTAAAACGCACACTGGAACTAAAACCGAGTGAAATCGGTCAACAAGAAAGATAAGATACGGATGTACGGGACCATGGGGGAGATCCGGATAGGAGAATGAGTCGGGTTAACCGATCAAAGGAGATGGGGTCAGGGAGAATAGCAGGTGTCATGAGGCCACACTAGATTTGCCACAAAAGGGCACGCATTTTGATGTGTGGAATGTAAACAAGTCAGAAGTTGTGATAGGGCGGGAGTTTGATACGAGTGTAAAGAGTAGATAGATGGACCAGGACAGAAAGAGAAGTGATAGTGTAACCGTTTTCGGAAGAACGTTGGTCGAGGGAATGACTTCTCTTGGATCTTTGACGAGGTCGTAGCTTGGTGCGGAGAATGGCAGCTTTCATGGTGATGCCAAGTACAATGCCGGCGAAACGTCTGAGAATGTACCAAGTCCATGGTCTAAGGCTGGGAACTATGATAACTGATATGGCAGATGACTTTGGACAATGTGCGTTCTACTAAGTCTCCCTTACAACAAGACCAAGTTGCGACAATGAAGTCAACCCACTTCTATAAATCGAGACTGCGACTATACCGGGGGCCACACCATCTTGGTCTTCATATCTCCGATAGAATGTCTATAGTTTCGCAGAAAAAGAAAGAATAATTAGTCTGAACACATTCAATAGTGAATGTGAGCTTGTTTGGTTATTGTAGCCTTTTAATCTAACACAATTATAAAAGCACAAATGAATGACAGTAGCCCTTTTTTGCAGACATAGCATTTACAAACATTATGAGCAAGTCAATTATACGAAAAAAAACTCAAATTTGGCAAAGTATTCAATGAGTGATTAAGACATTCAACACATTACATGGAAAGTAATAGAAGGAATTTTTTACCCCCAATTATGCCTAATGGTAATCGCCTGTTAAGGTTGTCTTAATAGATAACAAACTAATACAAGAAAACGTACATAAACCAAAACTTACCATCCTCGTCTCCATCCTCGCCGATACCAACAAGGTCCTCACCCTCGTCATCATCTTCGGG